GTGTATTCTTAAACTTATGACAGGGTTCTTGGTTTTGAGTTCTCACAGAACAGCTCCACCCATCACTAGCAATAATAAAGGTCACATGCAGGCCTATAACATACTTTAAAAGACTCCATGGAGGCTTTTCCAAAGACTTCCTCTGAGTTCTAGTCTGTCTTTTATGTTTTTAAGTGACTGTGTCTGTTTCATGATTTCTCTACCCTTCCTACCCTAGGTCTTCCAATAAGGACAAGAGTAACTTTCTAAATGGATATAGCTTGGGAAGAAATTAATTTACAACTTGTTTCTGCATGAAACGGCTGTAACACACATACTTTCTCCATCTTTTATGTAGTATGTTCTTCATCTAGTCCAGTACCCAAGACATTGTCAATGTTAAATAGATATCATCCTCTTTCTTCATGTCCTCTTAAATTGCAGTCACGTCTTCAGATAGAAAATGAGAAGTGACTGACTGCTTTGTACTGGGAATGGTCACGTGTCAGAATTGGCATGTGTTACAAACAGAGCTACCTCTGTGTTAGCACATAGTAAGTCTGATTGCAGCCCGATGCCCATTTTTAAAACAAATAGGAGATGGTTATCCTACCTCCTTACGTAAATTTACCTTTGCTAGAATTTTAAGCATCTGAAAATTTAAGGTTTGACTTCTTTGAAATTATCTGTAGAACTAAATCTCCGAGTCATCTGTATTCCATACTTTATAATTACAGCTTTATTTAGAACCTATAGTTAAAAGAGAAGTCAGATTATTAAATGGCTGCCAATAGAAGAGAACATGCAGATTGAAAATTTATATTTAGATAACTGAGATTTTTGTAAAATTTCAAATCATTTATTAGTCATTGTATTAAGATATTAAGATGACTTAGCCTAATCGATTTAAAAGTTCAGAAATACAACAAAAAGAGAAGGGAGATTATTTCAGATTAAAAGCGATGTAAGCATACAGCTATTAAAAATAGATGTATTTTTTTAGTTAAATGCTAGTTTTTAAGGAAAATGAGCAAGAAACATTTTTGAGAAATCTAAATATGGAGTTGTTATGTGAGCACTATGTAGTATCACACTGACTTGCGGTAACACAGGTTGAATATGCATATCTGAAATGCTTGGGACCAAAAGTGTTTTAGATTGCAGTCTTTGAATTTTAGAATATGTACATAGACTTTACTGGTTATGCCTCCTTAATTTTAAGATAACCATAAATGTTTCAAACTATGAAACTTTTTGAACATCTCAGTACTCAGAAAGTTTCAGACTTCTGTACAATTTAGATTTTTCGGTTAGAGATGTTCATCCTGTAGCATTTGTTAATATAGGAGAATCTCCTCATTGTTTGGGCATCTGCACTCACATATTATGGGAGTAAAGTTTCATGGTTTCTAATTTTTTAACATAGGATAGAAAATATATGTGTATGGCAGAAGATGGGCCATTGTTGAATCTAGATGGAGAGTTGTTAGGTGTAAGTTTTTGAATATTCTGCAAGTGCTAATGCTTATGAAGAAGTCATCCCTATGAAAGAAGTACGGAGCGACACAGGAGGTCCTCTTCAGCCAGCCCTGCGGTGTGGGAGATGGCACTGCCGGAGGTGAGCCTCACGGGTGGTGCTCACCTGCTGGGATGATTTAAAGCCTCAGTGGGCCACACACAGGTGTTTCCTGAGGCCCCATGTATGTACTTACTGTGACTGTGAGCAAAGTCCCCGCCATCAGGCAGCACACCGCACAGTTGCCTTAGTAGCCATGAGGAAGGTCAGGTCACTTTGGTTATGAGTCCACTGGAAAATGAGGGAGGCTGGACTATGAATTATAACAACCGAATAAATGAGTAATCCCTTAAAACGCATTACTAACAAGTAATGGTACTACTTAAAACTGTTCTGCATACCTTGCTAATCCAAGATGGGATCTGTATAACTCATGTGTGATTTGGGGTTGTTACTGCAATTATTGCCTTCATATTAATGAAGTCTAAATTGCTAATAAAGCCATTTTGGGGTAGTTTATTTTAGAACAAGTAGGAAATAACATAGTAACAGAACTCTGGTTGCCCTTTCTTGATTTCATAAACATTAATGATCACAATGATCACCCTCCCTTATTTTTCCCACTTAGAAAGTTAGTATTTGGTGAACAACCAAGTAGGCTAGAAGAAAGTTAATGTGGTTAACAAGGCATCATTCTAGTCTTCCGTGTTGGTTTGAAGATTATGTGTGGAAAGATAGCGAAGTGTATCAGCTCTTTGCAGAGTACAGAATACAGGAAGTGGCTCGGAAACTGGAGACTTTGGGGGCTGCTTAGAGGCCAGGATGGCTTCACTGGTATTAGGTAATATGAAATGCAGCAATTGAGAAATGTCAGTTGTTTCTATAAATACATATACTCAATGAATCCTGGTAGAAACATGCTTCCATTACAAAGCCAGCCCTTCTCTAACCCTAATCTCTTCCTTTGTCCATATAGACTTGTGAGGTTGAGGAGGACCTCAGTAGTCAACAAGTAAACAGGCTTACTTCAGTGTGATTTGCAAATGCCTCCTAATTCCAGAATACTGTTGTCAGATAGTTTTTTTAAAAATTGCTTTATGGTTTTCTTTTGCTTATTTTCCCACAGATTAAGGTCATCTTCACTTAGAACACAGGAGTAGCAAACTGGGAGCTGGTGCCTAAGTAGGAAAAGCAGAAGGCTTCCCGGATTATTTATCAAATTGCTCTTTAGTTAGAGTAGTAGAAGTTTGCTTTAGCCCTGGATATGTACAAAAATCTCAGTGGTCTGTCGAACCCTATAAAGTCTATTTCATTAACAATAAAGATAAGAGTTCATTCTTATCACTGCTGGTTATCGATGGGTAAATGAGCTTCAGCTCTGTGTAAAACATGCTAGTTCTTTATGTTTCCGCAGCAACGATTATCAAATTCAGTTTGTCATAAGAACTGGCAAAGTATCTTTGGTATTTAATCTGTCTTCAGGGTCCTCTTTAAACAATCAACTTTCATTTGTCCAATGAAATTGGAACTAAGCAGATGTAAATCTATTTTAACATATTAAAATTCCGCTATTGCTTAGGCCAGGTTTTTCACTGAAACCAGCAATAACAAGATACCAGTTTAAGAAGGATGTCTTTAACATAATCTTGTGGAAGATACAGATATAAGGGTCCAGGTTTTAATAAACTCAGTTCTTCTAGTAATTTCAGCAATAAGTCACTGGGAATCTGCCTTACACAAATCTCTTTTTTTTGAAAAATGTGTCATTTGAGGACTTTATTGTTCATTAGATAATTGCACTTTTTGTTCTTTTCTTTTCTTTTTTTTTTTTTTTTGAAGACTCACAGTTACATGAAAAGTAACTTATAAATATTGCTATGTATATGAGTTCCAAATTACTAAGGATTCTTCTGTCACAAACTACCCCCAATCCAACAGTAGGACAAATAAACAGATGCAGAAGGGGCTTCCACTCTCTCAGTGACCTAAGGAATGAAATGTTTCTTGAAAAGCACTCAGAGTAATACCAACAGTGTGTGTATTTTCCTTAACATTTTGAATAGAAGAAAGCGACATGACTGAAGTGCAATCCATTTTCCAGTGTATTGAGAAAAATATATTTCATATGAATAAATCTGAAGATTATCCTTTTATGGGTGTCACGGTTATTTCAGTCTGCATGAGTAAAGCAGTGGTGCAGTCCCTGCCTCTGCTTCTTCGACAGTGCATGGAGCATGTGCTCACTGGTGTCCTGGGCCTCTCCAGGGGCGTGGGGAGGATACTGAGCGTGCAAGCTTCTCTGATGGTGTTCTGAGGGTACAGTTTGGGAACAGTCATCGTCATGCACTTTGCCAGGTACGAAGACTTGGTAGTCTAGAGTTCTTCAAGGCCGCCTCTCCCAGCTCTCCAGCCTTCCAGTTGCAGGAGCAAAATAATGCCTCAGAGGCTTAGCAACTTCCTGACATCTTAGCACCTAACCACTGTCCTCTCTGCTGAGGCATGTACAGAATTCTTATTCTGCTCCTTGGTACTTGAATGTGTTAACTAGGACCACTTTATCTTCCTGGGAAAAAGGGATACTGGAAAAGAGAAAAAAAGAGGGATGAAGGAATTAGATTGGTACTGTGAATTATCTGAGTTCTCATATTACTCTATAAGATCAGTAGCATTGTCTCTTTTCAAGAGTGAATTTTACTCCTTTGGACAGGCCTCCTTAATTTAACATTTGTTTGTGCGACATTTTATTAACTAGTTTTGGGTTTTGTGCATTTTTAAGGGTATTGTAACTGTGTGTGTATCCCCATTTTTTAAAAAATTCTACTATTAGGGAATCTTTACATCAATTTTGGTTCAAGTATATTATGAAAGATGTTATTCTGAGCATGTAAGTTCAGCCTTGTAAACATAGGTTAGGTTTTTAAATTGGTAGTGGTCTCACCATTGCAGGGATTTCATGTTTCTTGTTGTCTCACTCATTTGCTGATAGTCAAGGCTCCCTTCTGGTGGACTGGGGACTTCGTTTTCTTTTTAAGCTTCTGCCATGTTTCTCTTTATCTTGTTAGAAGACTGTCTTTACTTAACTTAGGAAATTAGGAAGTAGCTTATTTGCAGTCAAAATACCCTCATTTCTGCTAATTAACAGTAAACATCGCAAGGTGGCTAAGTTCTGTGCCTTAGTTCGCACTGAGATAATTATCCCATGTGAGAGCCCCTGTTTTCAGATCTGTTAGCCCCCCTCATGTTTTCCACTTTGTAGATGATGTCACTAAGGTCCTTCAGGGACTAGAGACTGTGCCAGGTGTCATGGCCACACTCCTGGAAGAGCCAGGATAGTAATGTCCATCCCTTCCTCTGAGGTGAAGCTTTTTGCTGATCCTTTTATTCCTTCACTGGTTAGTTACTGTTAAATAATTATTGAATACATGTTTAATGGCTGGATCTGAGCTGGGCCCTTTGGACTCAGAGGCAAACAAGCTTACAATATGATGTTCCTTTCACTTTACAGGTTATGGTTATCAGATCACTGCCTATTTCCTCAAGAGGGGGATTCGCCTTCGCTGCATCGGGAGTGCACGGAATACTAGTAAGAAACTGTTTCTTGGACCATCCAGCATTTCACACAACCCACTGACCCTAGACAAGGGATGAAAATTAAAGAATAGAAATTCCTATTTGTTCATTGTGTTCCTGTCACTGAGTATTTCCAGATCTTGGTGATCTCCCCTCCCGCCACCAGCTTCTGCTGTGTTAACTGCCTGTAGTGAACTGAGCACACTGAATTCTGCATCACTCCATCATTGTCAGTGCATGCCAAGACCGTGGGATTTGGAGCAGGCATACACAAGAGAAAGCACTTCTTCAACCTGGAGCCTCTAGAGCCTTCCTTGGGTGTGACAAGGCCAGTTCCCACCCCTCATTTCCCTAAGTCAGGATGTCAACTGAGAGACAGTGTCAAGCATGTGTAGCTAACAGCACTAGTCCGAAGCTAATGACTGTTCTCCAACTAGATATGAGTATTGGAAGGAAAATTTAGCCTAGTTTCCTTGGACAGAATCAGTATGTGCGTAAGACATGAAATAGGGAATTTAAAAATTAACTGTATAGAGATTTTCTTGTGAACTTCTCAGGGTTGTCTGTGCTTCCTTAATCCCAGATGTTGCTTACATACATTACCTTCTTAGAGACCTTTTGCCTTGTTCTCTTCTAGTAGTCAACTAAGCCAGATATCCTTGTATCATTTATTTATTTATTTTTGATGGAACCAGGGATTGAACTCAGGCCCTTGCGCTTACCAGGCAAGCGCTTATTCTACTGAGCTATCTCCCTACACCCAACTATCTCCCCGGTTCCCCTTGTATCTTTTAAAATACCTTTTAGCTACCCTTGCTAGCAGGGATTGCCATTGGCTAATTCTTTATTTAAATACTAAAATAATACAACTCTTAATTGTGACCTAAACAAAAGTAGTTTTCTATTAATATACCTGGCATCAGAATGTTCAAAATCTGCCATCCTAATTTTTCAGGGGGGAGGGGGGGAATATATATATACACACACACACACATACATACATACACACACAGCAGGATTATTTGATGAAACTAGTAATTTTGAATTCTAATAGTTTAATGAGCTATTTATATAGTAGTCCCTTGAAATTTCATAATTTGACTTTTGCCAACTCGCTGTTCCACAGGTTTTTAAAAGTATTAATCTAAATTATTTATCACATATTTTTTGCTATATTGTAGGATTTTGCAGGACCATACAGAATACATATGTTGTTAAAAATTACATAGGATTTCGAGTTTAAAAAATGGTTAAGAACATTAGAAGTCGTTTTAAAAGTGTGGGAAAGGTCTTTAAGAGTATGGGAAGGGTTTATAAAGTCTTAAAATATATATAAATCCTAAAATAAATATAACATTGTTACTTTGCTGATTTTCACATATTGTGGGGGTGTCTGGAATGTAACGTCTGGTAAGTGAGGAACCACTGTTTCGGTTTTCTCATTGCAGGGTGGAGAAAATGAATTCTGTCTCTCTGTTTCACTTTCCATAAAGTAAGACACAGAGCACTTAGCATGTATCTCAATAATATATTCCAGGAACTAGTGAATAATATTAACTGCTTGATAACTTGGTTCTGGCTTTTCAAAGGCCATCTGCGTTCACCAAGCCAAATGTACACATCCAAGAGGCAGGCGTCAGAGCTTATGTCCAGGCCTCCACCTGCAAATGAGAGCTTGAAAAAGGAGAAGTCTGGAGGAAGATCAGACCAGTAGGTTCAGTCCTGGTCATGGGTGCTGGAGAGCCGTGACCGGCCTTGGGCAGAATGAGGGCAGCTGTTTTTTAGGACCCTCAATTTGAGCTGTGTAGGACGGATTAGAACAGGGAGAGTGACCCCGGAGGCAGCAGCAGTAAGTTTAGGGACCTGGAGGAGCTCTTTAGGCCATTTGTGATAATTTAATGTTTGGGGTGGGTGAATAATGTAAGGAGTTAAGTGTGTTTAAATTATAATTCCCACCTTGTGCTGAGACGCATTGTTAACTCAGGTCTCGTGTGCAGGGTTTTTAAAAAGATTCACTAATAAAACTATGGAAAAGAAAAAGATTCACTTACCTGATATATAATATCCATGTCTTTTAAAAAAATTAATCATATATAAAGGGAAGTTTTCTCTCTCTGTTTTTTTTTTTTTTTTTTTTTTTTCAGAACTGGGGATTGGACTCAGGCCCTTGCACTTGCCAGGGAAGCGCTATTCCACTGAGCCATCTCCCCAGCCCAAGTTTTCTCTTTTAGAAAAAAGAAAATAGTAGTATATATGTGTTACAAAGATTATCAACTCATGCAGCAAGTATTAAGAAAGGAGGAGGGAGCCTCCCCACCCACCCCAGACAGATACTGTTGCCATCCACTACTCAGCCTTGGGCCATTGCCGCACATACTGACAGATGTCAGAGGAGTAGAAGAACACAGATGTGATTTGAGGGCAGACACAGTTGGTGGTGCTGCTGTTTGTGTTCTCCTTGTTGACTATCAAATCCTATTCTGCTATGTAGCCTTTCCCACCCGAAACCACTTCCTTTGGTTTTAAGCGGCTACAGTAGTACATCATTACTAACTGTGATGTAGCTTTATCATCTCTACTGTTGCATATTTAACCATCCATTCCCTTAGTAGTCTGACCACCAATTCCTAAGAGAAGCTGCTGATTTCAAAACTAATTCCTGCTTGGGAGTTTGCCCTCTAGTGTTTATAAGTCTGCATTCATTAGAAAACAACACTGTTTCTCAAATATTACTTCTAGAGGGAAAAATGCAGGCTGACACAGAGGTGCTGCCCCATTCCACGTGCTATAGTGGCTCCCTGTGCAGGTGGACCTGTGTGCAGCCTGCTGGTCTCCCTGTGGCCTTGTGCTCATGCTGTCTATTGATGGCAGACACTAGAAGGAGAAGGGAGAAGAGACACATGTCATATCTGTGTGCACACTGTACTCACGGTGTAAAAGGAAAAGAGAGATCTGGAAACAAACATTTCTGTATTCATAGTTCTTTTGATACCTTCACAGTAACTTGATGTTCTTTATTCTGTACAGAACTCCGTGTATTCCCTGACCGATTTGTGGTGTGCATTAGTCAACTTGCAGCCAGTCCTGATACCTTGACAAATCAGAAAGAATTGGTACGTATGAAAAAATGCTGTGAACAAGCCAGTGAGCCTAAGTGCTGGGTTACTGTAAAAAAGAGGGGAAGGAATCGTCTATTATTGTCATTTAGCTACATGTTTATGGGACAAAAATGTCTTACCTATTTTATGTGCTCATAGTGATTAACTGATGCATACAGGGTGGTGGTGTTTCTTTCCCCCCCCCCACAAAGAACTCTTAAATATTTAGTTTGATCAACAGTATCTTTTCACTACCAGTTTCAAGTGAGAAAGCAGCACAACACGAAGTACTTATGATGGTACTTTCAGTCGGAATTAAAGTAAAGCAAAATCCACATGTTTCCACTGGAAGTTTTCATTGGGGTCAGCGACTTTCGGATTTTATTCCATGGTAGTGAATCACAAAACTTTCATGAGAACCAGTACTTCTCCCCAGTGTATTATTTCATAGTTGCCAGGGTTCATAGACATACACACACACACACACACACACACACACACACACACACACACACAGAGCCATGCTGAGCTGCATCAGGGCCTGTTTCTTTGCCATTTTTAGTTTTTAAACTTTGGCAATCTGCTAATTGTGTGTATGTGTGTCTTGTTGTCATAGTCCAAACTGCTTCCCTCTGCACAAATGTTTTAATGTTTTTGGACATATAACTTAAAACTTTTGAAAAATAAAAAATAAATTAGCAAATATTCACCCAGCCATGAAGTATGATATGATTATTATTGTTTTAAAATAATGTATGGCAATATTAGATTATCCCTAATGTTTATTATGTTTCAATTCATTTGAAATTTGGCCCACATAGTCTAAAACTAGCTTCTTATCTCATCTTAAATAAATATATAAGAAAATGAGTGTTTCAAAGATGGTAAGAGGGAATAAAGGACCCTGGAAAAATTAAGAGCAAGAAACTGATATTTACATTTAGATTGGTTCATTCATGAGCAGAGAACCCCTTCAAAAAAGCCATTGTGATCCATATATTACCCATTAAAAATGCTACATATGCACACTAAATGAAACAAATGTTGTACACTTAGCAAAAGGTATTAAAAGTTTATCTTTTAAAATATTTCCAGGATGCAGCTATCCTATTAATATGGAAACAGTAATGTTGGCATACAACTTTAATATCATTTAACTGATTTGAGGGCAGAGACGTAGATCTGGGCTTTAAGAAAACAACAATTAACTGTACCGGAAAGTAATAGTGCTTTCAGATGGAATACAGGAGAAATTAGATCTCACATCTGATATGTAATATTAATACTTAGTATCTTAAATTATTAAGAGAGAGTTAAAACATCTCAATACAAATGAAATGTTATCCTCCTTAGGGGATGTGGTATTTATACAGATGTAAGTTTTGTATAGCTGCTATTACATAAATCCCACAATCTGGAGAACTTCCTGAATGTTGAGAATTAGCATTCTGCAAAGTAGAAGAGTCTGAGCCTTTTATATGAGAGAGTTCAGTATCCTTATCTTTAAAATATTCTGATTTTTAACTATAACACAATCAGAGTTAACATTATTAGCTTGTAGGAAAATGCCATTTGCAGCATGAATTTGTTGTGGGTGGCTCTTTCTGGTTATAGTTAGACTGTGTCTTTAATTGCTCTTTTTGCCCAACTCTGGTTTTCCTTCCACCTACACACTTTCGCAGCAACACATCATCAAAAGGATAGTCCATGCTACTAAGCAGCTCCTTCCCCAGAAGTAAGGACACCTCGCCCTCCCACTGCACTTGCTCATGTGAACTCCCCCTCTTCACCTACGACTTCCTCAAGTTCCTTGTCTCTGGACTACAAAATACCCAGGATGTAAGGGCTCTTTCCACAATTGCCCATAAAGCTAGCTATACTACCCTCCTGCCAGAAGCATGTTGGAGCTTAACCTCACTGATATTCAACCTCTGCAGAGCCTGCCTGGCTCAGTTATTTAAGGATCAATAAACAGTTCTTCCTCCCAGAACTGCCTTCTGCCCAGAGAAGGCATTCCTACTCCTCCTGATATACTTCAAATGCCCAGAGCCTGTGATCTCAGGCTCCCCTGAGTATTCCTTGAACTTCCTTCAAGCCTTGAATTCTTTTGTCAGTTTACATTGATATTCCACAGAGGGCAGGATCCATCCCACTCTCTTGGTAATAATTCTCAGGGAACTTCGGAGTGGGCAAGGCTTGGGAACTTGGCTCCCCAAGCAGCTGTATTGGTAGTGAACTTCCGTTTTTTTTCGTGTAATTGCTTACTGCACTCACTCTTGTATGCCCACAGAAATGAGCTTGTACCAGAGAAGCAACCAAAATGACTTACTTTTGCTGTAGCCCTGAGGGGAACAGGTTACTTTTCTGTCATCCTTTCCCTTTTCCCATCAATTGAGTCATCAGTGTCTTAGTGACAATTTGTTAGGACATCTTTGAGCATCTCTTCAAAACTGCAGTGCAGTGAATGGATTCTGTCAGCCTGCAGATAAGAAACTAAATGCACAGGCTCTGCAGTTCTTAAAAGTGGATGCACAAAAGAACTGCTGTCCTGAATCAGGCCGTACAAAGGAAAAGTCTCCCTCCCTGGCAAGGAAGAACGAGGGCAGCCACATGGTCCCCAGTCTGGGCCACATCCAAGAGGTCTGTTCTGCTGTCCGTGTTCCTCTCTCCACTGGGGGACCTTATACAGTGAGATCCTCCATGTTCTAATAGCTCTGCACTGAGTGCCCATGTACTAGGGATGTGGGAATTGTGATGTGTACTTTGGGAAGAAAGGGCATTATTATGAAATGACTCATTGTATTTTTCTTACTAGAGTTTCTCATAAGAATTCTTGAAACCCTTGTAGCCTCAGCTTTTGACCTATTGCTCGATATAGAGCTAGGGAGTCTTTTTGAGAGTTTTTACCTTCAGTTGTTTTTTTCTTGTTCTTCTTCAGCTTTTTGTTCCCCCTAAGAAAAAAAGAACATAAAGTTTTACTGTACTGTTACATTCCATTCCAACAATATTTTCATTTTTACAAACTGAAGTCTATGTAAGACTTCTTTCTCAAATGTATATTCCACAGCTTTAGGAAAATATAAAATTAATATATTTTTATTATGTAAAAATAGCCACAGAACTCTCATACATCTGTAGGCCATTCCAGTGCCAGTGCAGAGCTCCCATCACATAGCATGTTGGTTGCAGCCATCCCTGTTCTCTGGAGATCACCTTTCCCATCTGTTCTGCCCTCACATTTAATATACTTTGCCGAGTACTGCTCCGTGCTAGGAAACCTTCCCGACGCTGAGAGAACAAAGGACAATAAAAAAGTGCCTTTGTCCTCAAAGAACTTACAGTCTGGCAGATCAAACTATTGATAGGTTTCCTAGGGACCTAAAATTAAAGCTCAACTGAAACCTTCATTTTTTCCTAAAAAGGTCTCCTTCCTACACCTGTATCCTTACTGTTCAGATCTTTTCTGCCATTCCCAAAGACGAAAATTCTAGACTGACTTTCTTTTGTACCTACACCGTCAAAGGCAGTGATTTTAATTTTTTGGAAATTAAAATATGACATGTAGCACTAGTGCTGCCTACAAGTAGATGTATGCATTAAGGTTTATGGGTTCTCTGCCTGCGTTCCATTTGAGTTATGGCCAAGCTGTGGTTCATTCTGCACACCTAACTAGCCAAAAGCGCTTAGTGGCTGTAACATCCACTAAGTGGGACATTAGTGGGAGTCGTCCTAGGAAGAGATAATATTTAAGCATTAAATTGACCACTTCCCTTAAGTCAGGCTATTATTTAATTAATTTTAATTTTGAGATTTCCTATATAATGAGTGTAAGACTAAATTGAAAATTAGTCTCAAGCAGAAACTACCTGGGTGAACTTCAGCTTGATGGTTGTAGTCCTCAGCTGTGTGTCATGAATCAAGAGAGGAAGGTATCAAATCATCTCAAAAATCCTTTCTTATGCGAAATTTCTATCAGGAATTATTTGTGCAAGTGAGAGCTTTATTGTTACATTCAAAAATTGTGATAAAAATATTTAGAGTATAATTGTATATTAGGAAAGATAAGCAGAAGTTAAAAGGAAAGATTTTAGACCTTAGTGTTTTTACAACTGAAGAAATGAACTGCTTAATCTGTGCACTGAGTTTTATACCTTCATGACAACATTGTTTAATTTTCATAAATGAACTTTTGCTTACGTGTAAATGAATTCATAGGGCTGGAGAGAGAGCTCAGTAGAATGAGTGCTTGCCTGGCAAGCTCAAAGTCCCGAGTTCAATTCCTAGTTTCAGCAACAACAAAAAACTCCTTCACTGTCATACTGAAACATTTAAAGAAGTTCAGGTGCCTTTCCAGGTTTTTCATGATATATTAGACTTTAAAAGTCTGTCCTCCTTTTTCTTTTCTGAAACAGTGCTAGTGGTGAATTACACAAAAGCCATTAAGAAGAAACTCTCAGCACCAGGAAAAGTTCTGAGTAGGGAAAGGCTATTTCTATATTTTGTATTTTCCATAACATTTTGAATTTTGTTCTTAATAACTAATACCCAAAATTGTACATGTCCATTGTACAACAAAATTTAAATTCAAATATACACAGAGGAAGAAAAATGATTTGCAACTCCCAGCCCAGAGATAACCTCTGTTACTGATCTAATCCTATCTCTCCATACTTCATGCTTAATAACTGAGGTCAGTGTGTATTTTTTAAGTAGGACCTTATTCATTTGTGAATTATGAATCGGTGTCTATTTTTCTATTGACATTTCTGTGTTTCACACATTCCTTACTATACAATACCTTATATAGTAAGGAAAGTAGCTCTCTGTGAGTTTATTATTTACATTTCAATCACAGATCACTGCTGCCTTGTTGGAGTCTGGGTCCTCGGATTTGTATTTTCCATGATGATTTCTGCTTCTTTCTTGAATAATGTTGTTATTAATTATTTTCGAAATCAGACAAATATTTATACTTTCTTGTATTTCTACACAAAAGAATTTCATTCTGTGACAGA